ATGACAGCGCATCACGGCCCTGTTGGTTGACCACACGCGTACCCAGGTAAATCCACAATGTTTTGAAGTATGGATATGCGTGCGGTACTTCCATGTCTGTATTTGAGTGCCCATTGGCCCCCAGGGGATCCTGTACCCTGATCTAAACAGGAGGTACCATAGTAAAGGTGCAGTCGCATATACATGATCATGCTCTCACTACGGGCACCGCCTCAAATCGTTCTTTGTCAAAGGGCTGTAGAACCTCTGAGCAAGTACAACTTTCCCATTGCCGACCCTTCAGCGTCCTTTGGCACGCGTCGGCAAAGGGACAAGTTACGACTGTCCCGAAAACAAACCTCCGTTTCACGCGAAGGGATCCCGAGCGCTGCCCGTCGTGTCTGGGCCTGTGACCATGATGTGGCCTGTTTAGGCAGGTCGGGTAGGGTAGACGCCGGAGAGAAAAAGTCGCGCGTTCACGGACTTATGCAAGGCGCTGTAAGTCACCACAAGCATGATAACACTTCACCCATGTCGGCCATCTCAATAGATTTTCACTCCTGTCACCGTCAATTTACGTCTAGCACGGACGCATGGACGTCCCATTGAAATGCTCAACGCCTAGGTTGCGTTCAATTCTGGCAGAGAGTACTTACTGAGCACTGAAGTTCTGAGTACTGGCAGCGATGTCTGGTGACACCCCGATCAGAACTGACTTCTTATACTACATAGTATAGTATAGTTTAATCACTCACGGCTCGTAACTGTCCCAATCTAACGATGAGGGGGCCGACTCCCAGACCCTTTCCATCAAGTATCCTACAGTCCGGAAAACTGACCGTCCACGACTTCGTGCTGACATGCGGACGGTGCTGGTACCAGATTAGACAAAGAACACAGCTACTTACGGTCGCATAGTATCCGCGCAACGTTGAATGTGCACTACAATGGCCCTATTATCTCTGCAGCACTCATAGACGTTCCGCCCTTCTTCTCCCTGCCAGCCCTTGCTCTCACCTTTACTGAGACTCACGGAACTCCGGAGTTGACGTCGTGGCCTGGTGAAAACGAAAGATAAGGAGAATGTGTGGATTAGCCGAGAGGTGATAAGCTGTACCTAACATCGATCGAGGCATGTGTGGGAACCTCTCGTACATATGTCCTCGGCTTGGAACGCGGCCAGAGGGCCAGACCGCTCTCGCTCTCGCTCTCATCCTCGGACAGCGCCGCTATATCTACATATAACGGACTGCACGCCTCCCTTCTTGGACATCCACATCCATAGCTGATCTTTTTCCATCATGTCTCAACTCTCCTATCTCTCGCACGCTCGCTACGGCAAGGACAAGGTTCGCGTACTCCGCGTCGTGAGGGACGGGGCCTGGCACAACATTGTCGAGTACAACGTCAGCGTCCTCGTAGAGGGCGACATCGACATCAGGTGTGTTTTGTCTGACTGTGCCCTCGGATGCGCGACATCGTACCAACCTCCGCCAAACCCCGATGCAGCTATACGCAAGCTGATAACTCTGTCGTCGTCGCGACTGACTCGCGTGCGTACTATCGATATTCCAATCGATATCCCCGTCCAACGTTCTGACAACTGTCTGCCTTCAGTAAAGAACATTACTTATTGTATGGGCATCTCACCCGGTGGCATACCCCGCGCTCAGCTCATTTGACTTCCCTCGCGTGCCTCCGTGCGCACCAGACATCGCGAAGACGTCTCCATATGTCCTCGTCCCGGAGCGCTTCGCCCTCCACCTTGGAACACACATAGTCTCCAAGTATGCGCACTTGCACAAGGCGTTCATCACGGTGGAGCAACTGCGATGGCAGCGCGTCCCTATCGCCCAGGGGCCAGGCCAGACTCCCAAGGAGCATTCGCATGCGTTCTACCGGGATGGTGACGAGAAGCGTACCGTGGAAGTCGAGGTATGTGTCATGATCCGCCGTATGACTATGCAGGAGGGGTGCTCACCATTCATTCACTCTGGGAATTTTCTGCGCGCGTACGTACATATGCCCCTTGGTCGGACAGATTGACGCGTCTGCCGGCAAGGACAAGATTGTCGCTCGCGTGACTTCGGGACTGAAGGACCTGCTTGTTATCAAGACGACGGGCTCTGCATTCGAGTCTTTCGTTCGCGACGAGTACACCACCCTCGGCGAGGTCAACGACCGTATCTTCTCGACCTCGATCGACCTCACCTATACTTTCGCGCCGTTCAGCATCCCAAAACCCGCCGACGGGGAGGGTAAGGTCTTCGATGCGCCAGTCTCCGGGGATGCTGCTAAGGGGACGTCGTGGGATGGGGATGCTCTTGCCGCTTCGACACGCAACATCACCCTCGAGGTGTTCGCATTGGATGAGAGTGCGAGTGTACAGGTCAGATGTTCGCTTAGATGCTTGATCTTGTATTACATGAACTGACCGGATTCGACTGTTTAGGCGACGCTCTACAAGATGGGCCAACGCATCATCGCAGAGAACCCGCACATTACGAGCGTCACATACAAATTGCCGAACAAGCACTACGTTCCGGTCGATCTGAAGTACATCGGTATCGACAACACGTCACCGTATGTGCTTCCTCAACCTCATCGTTTCCTGATAGGATGTCGCCATACATCCTTGTGCTCACCCATGTGTTTGCTTGTACATCTGCAGGCCCAACGCAGAGGTCTTCCTTCCACTTTCGCACCCGAGGTACGTCTTATCCCGGTATCCGGCTCTGCTATCGTGTCAGCGCACTGTATGGGCTCAGTCTAATGAACGATTGCAATGCACAGTGGCCTCATCACTGCGACCGTCTCCCGCAAATAGACTCTGCATACGATTGAGCACACCGATGCTCCGTGACCGAGGATTTCAGCATCAGAGCCGAGGATCGAAGATCAAGGGGTACATGGTTTGTGATATACCGTCTTATACGTGTACGCTCAGTCAGGCCGTGAGCTTCAAGAGTGCTGTTGCAGGAATGTCCGATGCATGTACAACTATTCCCACGCAAACTATCATGTTGTATCCTATCCCGATGACCCCGTTGTGTGAAACGCAAGCTCACTTCGCCGACTATTAGTTGCATTTCTGTGTATCGGACCAGCTCGCTGTCAAAGTGATGATTGCTTCACAAGTCCACCGTTCGTGCACCACACCTCCACTGAGGAGCGACATGAGGGATGCTGTGTATGCACAGAACTCTCTTGACAGCGCCTCTGGCGACAAGCAGATAGAGTCATGCTGCACCCTTAGTATCCCCGGGGGCTTTTGGCCCGTACTCGTCGAGGATGTACCCGCGCGGTTACGGGTCTCGAGTCAGGTCGGGATGCGCACGGGTAGAGCCGCCTCTATCCTTACTACCTAACGGCTCATGAGTCGAAGCGGCCAAGATGACGGTTAATGGCAACATTCACAGAACGACAACGATCCTCATTTTTGAGTCTCGCTTTCTGTTTCACCTGCAAGCCGCCGATCGCACCTCCCTCGACATGGACTCCTCCGACTCGCACGAGGGTCCTCCCGAGACGTCTTCGCGCACGAACATCAGCTCCATCGTGTTCGACCGTGTAGTAGGGTCGCTCTCCGCCGACATCGCGCCAGAAGACTTGCTAGGTACGGCCGATGAGGACACGGAAGACTACGCGCAGACATCCGACTTTGTGGGCACTCAGACGGAATATCTCGAGGAGCCTATGGAGAAGGGGAAGTCGGAAAACGAGTTGCAAGAGGTAAACGCGCTGGACTGTGGAACGAGGGCGTCGTCCAGCACGCTGAGGGGTCTGGATTCTGTGGAAGAGGTAGTCTAGAGCAGATATATCCAGTATATCCAAAGTGCTGGACCCACCACTTCCGTTATTTCTGTAGAATGGTTGAGAATGCCCAAAAGAACGATAGATGCTTTGGCAGGTGCAAATCGAGTGTTCAATACATCACAGCATGATTACAACAGGTGCTCAGCTACACATTTAGTGGTACATATAATTCCAGCCTTTCCCAGCTCCGGCAAGACATCCTTGCGCACAGTCCGAGAGCTCAGTCCATTTCTGCCATACCATCACTGCTCGTCGTCCTCGCTTTCCCCATCCGCGCTCCCTGCCCGTACCCCCGGACCGTCGGCAGCCTGGACAACAGCGCTCCACACCGCATCCTCGACGAACACGTCCGCCTCGCCCTCGAGCGTGTCGCCCTGGTGGCACCCCGCGGCGTGCTTCCACCAGAAGATCTCGCGGACCTTGGCCTCGACGTCCTTAATGCCCTCGACGGGGACCCATTTGGTGCACCGGTGGCACTTGCCCTCCATGATCCGCGTCTTCTCGTGCTTGGACGCGTTCGGGCGGGACACGGTGCGGAATGCGGTGGGCGGGGAGAACGGCCGACCGGTGGGCGCGGAGATGCCATGGTAGTACTGCATGTGGTAGCTGTGCGGGCGCGTGCGCGCGGGTTGAGTGAAGGAGGATCAGATGGATGGGGGAGGGGAGAGAGGGAGAGACAGTGGAGGCTTACTTGAAGGCAGAGAACTTCATCGACAGCCAGAGCTTCTTACCTTCGCCGCCGCGTGCGACGGGTTCGTGGCAGATGGGACAGAGGCCGACCTACGGGGTCGTATGATCGACGTTGACCGTCAGGTCTAGTATGCCGACGCGAACTCACCTTGGATGTGCCCCTGCCCTTGACGAACCGCGGAGTGTACAAGTCGAAGACATCCCTTGGTTCGTTCGGGGTCCCGTCGGGCACTGTTGCTATACGTATTCTATGGGCACTAAGGTCGGGTCAAGAGGGAAAAGTGGATGGTGTCAATTTGCACGCATAGTTGGGAGAGAAAAGCATACGCTGCAAGTTCGTGATCGACGACGGAGCTGACGGGGAAGCGCCTATAGAATAAGGCGAAATTGTCATGGATGGGGATTCGCAGAGGGAATGTCCTGTTCGGATAGGTCCGGATGGCGTTTGCATCCTCGGCCCCCTCGGCACCGTCGTCCTCGCCTCCGGAGACGGCTCCTGCTTGTTCTTGAGATCGAGATGTTGAGGCAGAGGCAGAGGCTGGCGCAGAGACAGAGATTGAGGTTCTTTGCCGCTTCCCGCGATTGGAAGAATATATCGACTTCGCCTTGGAAGATCGTGCGCGCTTTCGGCTCTTCGGTCCTGACGGTTCATAATTTTCGTCGTCAGAGTCAGTATCGGAGGGGCCTGTAGGTGAAAGGGCAGATTTTTTAGCCGAGGAAGAGGCTCCAAGTCGCGATCTTCCGCCATGTTGACCGAGTTGGTTGAGAATCTCAGACGCCAAAGATCGCTGGGGAGCCGAGGGGCCTTTTCCTCGAGCGGCTCGTCTGTAGCGGCGCGATGAAGGACCAGAGGTACCGAAACCATTGAGAGCAATAGACGGCTTGAACGGAGAGCCAAGGGGAGAGAAAGATGCATGAGCACCTTCGTCAGTGTGAGCAGGCGAAGAGAAGCACGACGTCCGTCCGCGTGAGGTCTGAGAGGACGGATGAGGCTCGTGAGAGAAGAGAGCAGAAGGAGACGAGCCAACGTCGGTTAAGCTGGAAAGAGAAGATGGGGTAGACGGGCCGTGGACTGGGCTTTCGGGAACCGAGTAGGATTTCTCATACTCTAGAAGAGACTTGATTTTGCCCTTCCCAGAGCCGCCATTCATCTCGTCACCTTCGTCTTCTTCTCCAAGCTCCATAGACGAGTCGGCGAGAGCAGTAGAGTTCCGAGAGATGGGTGATATCGAGTTCTCGTCATCTTGCCAATAACCAGTAGGGGATGAATTGAAGAGTTGCTGAAAGGGGGTGCCGGGAGAGCTGCGGGCAATCGACTTGGGCTCCACGCCCGCGAGGTAGGCTTCAATAAACAGCGGGGAGCGAGAAGACCGATAGCCAGGTAGCAGAGGAGGCGAATCGATTTTTGCTCCTACAGGACGGTCGTTGGCAGGGCTGCAGGTGTACAAGAGTCCATCGAAGGAGCCGGAGGATCGAGACGTGGTCTCCTGTGAGTTACGAGAGCACAAGCTTGGCGAAAACAGGAAAACGTCGCCTTGACGTGTCGCAGAGGGTCGATAGAAGCCTGCCTGAGTGCGGCTATCGCTTGATTGTCCAGTGGGGACGCGGGAGTCTTGATGGAAGACGCGAGAGTGAGCAAAGTTATACTGGATGGGTATCATGGTATATGCTGGAGATCTCGGTCGTTGACAGATAGAAGACAGCAGTACGAAGGTCTTGAGGACGACCACGGCCGATGGTGGTGGATGAAGGGCTGCAACGACGGCCGTGGAGGTTTGTGTCTTTTTCAATCCCCGCCATAAGCGCCCCTTCGAGCGCGTTGTTTGCGTGTTGTTTGGCCGCCTGCCACCGCCACTGTCCAGTGAATGGCTTACATAATACGGACTCGCTGCCAGCTGCCGACGGCTACCGTACGCTCTCGCCACCGTATACCGCACGCTCAGCTCATCGCTGGCCATGGCTGTCGCGTTCGCCCTCTTTCTCTCCCTTCTATGCTCTCTGCAACTTGCATACAGAACATATGCAGCTGCGCTGACAACCGCCATCGGGGCGAACGAACGTCTATGCTTCTATGCCGATGTGGACAAGGCCGGAGAGAAGATCGGGGCAAGTGCACTCTGTCTGTCCCAGTTCTGCTTGTTGGAGCTTACCGACCATCCCACATGTGCAGTTTTATTTTGCAGTACGTTTGCAGCACGCGCTTGTAGGCCGGCCAGTAACAGCACATAACGCATAGGTGCAATCCGGAGGGTCGTTCGACATCGATTTCGAAGTGAAGGATCCTAATGACAAATCCCTCCTCGACGGCCAGCGTGAACGCCAGGGCGACTACGTCCTCACCGCCAACACCGTCGGAGAGTACTCGTTCTGCTTTGAGAACGATATGTCTACCCTCACCGAGAAGCTCATCGACTTTGACATCATGGTCGAGAGCGAGCCCCGCCGCGAGCCCCCAGCGAAGCCCGGTCAGCTCGCGGACCAGACGAGCGCGCTGGAGGAGAGCATGTACAGGTTAAACACGATGCTGCTGAGCATCAAGAGGACGCAAAAATAGTGAGTCGCGAGTTTGGGTTGCGTTAACGTCTGATCTGGGTGCTTATGGTGTCGCTGTGAAGCTTCCATACTCGCGAGAACCGAGGGTTCGACACGGTCAAGTCTACACAGAAGTATGTCCCCCTGATTTCTGTTGAAACGCCTTGTCTGAGCATGCTATCAGTCGCATGTTCTGGAACGCCGTATTCGAGAGTCTGGCTGTGATTGGGATGGCAGTGTGGGTCTCACAGTACTCCGCCGTCGTCGTGAACAGTTCTGACGCGCTCGCGTGCTTGCAGTTTCCAGGTTTACGTGCTGCAGACGTTCTTCACGAAGACTGGGAGACGATACAAGGTGTAACTTATTATGACGCTTCACGTACACATACTCTATCATATACATATTGGAACCTATCATGAGCGGATGCCGTGTGCGCCTGCTGCGAACGGAGCTTGGACGAGAAAGGGTCACGTGCTGGTGCGCGTCGCGCGATGGGCGTCTGTGGGACTCGGGGCGCCGTGGAGGGCGACGTCGACGACCTGAACGGCAGTGTGCTCTGATTCATGTCCACGTCCTGCAACGTCTGGCTGCCGCGACTGCTGCTTGTTGTGATGTGCGTGGTGCTTGGTTTTGCCCACTTGCTTGCCATGGACTGCGCCCAGCGAAAGGAACGTCGGTGCCGCTGGAGAGGGGGCCTGAGCTTGGCCGACGCTCGTGTCAGTCGCGTAGGCGGCTCGGATCATGCATGATCCTCCCCTCCCGCCCGTCTTAATACCATATGCATGTTCCTCCTCTTGACTCCCAACTAGTCCACTGACTTCACTCCGAACGACCACCGCCTACTCTACGCCATGACCGGCCTCCGACGTTCCCCACACACACTCCGCCTCCGCCGCGCGTACGGTACTATGGCCGCCGCATCCGCAAAGAGAGTCATGATAGGCATCCGCAGAGAAGACCCCGCGAGAATATGGGAGAGGAGATGTCCCCTCACCCCCGATGTCGTCCATGAGCTTGTACACAAGGACGGCGTCGAAGTCCTCGTGCAACCCTGCGAGAGACGGGTGTTCACCGCCAATGACTTCATAAGGGTGCGTCTCGGCTCAACGTTCTGCCCAAATCTAATCCCTAACTTCCGCTTCCGCTTCTATGTTCTTGCGTATGCACCGGGAATGTCGTGTATAGGCTGGCGCGAAGCTGCATCCCACCCTCCAGCCCGCGCATGTCGTCGTGGGCATCAAGGAGACACCCTTGCCTGAGGTTTTGACAGACCCTCTGTCCGCGCCTGGTTCACCCCACAATGATACATCCGGTCTTGTGCCCCGCACCCATGTCATGTTCTCGCATACGGTCAAAGGACAACTATATAACATGGAGCTGCTCGGCAAGTACCTCGCATCCGAGAACCCGCACGCGGTCCAGGGAGGCGCATTGCTTCCCAGGCTTATCGACTATGAGCTACTGACAGGAGAGGACGGGAAGCGGACTGTTGGTTTCGGGTGGTTTGCCGGCGGTGAGTGAACTCTTCGCTGCTCAGCGTGTGCGAATTGCGACCGCGCACAGTGTTTGGACTCTCCCATCCCATCCAGCCTTCTTGGAGGTGGCGGAACATTCGGTAGCTCCTAGAGCCCTCAGCTCACTGATCAGTGAAGCATTTCTGTTGTCCTTCGCCTATATGAGTGCGGTTTGCTGATCCGACCCTCTGCAGTTGCCGGCGCACTCGAATCGCTAGTCGCCATGGCTCACGCCCATCTCGAGCTTGGGGTAGCGAGCCCGTTCCTGGTGAGTGTGTTGTCGCATCAATTCGGCGCGGAGCTTGACAATAGAGTTGCCGCCGTGGTGTCAGTGGACCCCGAGGCCACACACCCACCCATCATTAGCGTCTATCCGTAAGACACTCCGGGACGTGGTCGGAGCGCAGATCGCAAGTGACGGGACGCCCAAGAGCTTGGGGCCTTTGGTGATTGGGGTCACTGGGTAAGCTTCGAGCAGGTCGCTTCATAGCTACTCTCCAGGACGGTGACTCACGGGAGTGCAGAACTGGGAACGTAGCGCAGGGCTGTCTTGACTTACTGCAGGACCTTCCCATTCAGCATATTGGCGTAGACCAATTACGCAGCATCGTGACAGATCCCAGTAAGGAATGCTTGTCTCTTGCTGGCCCACCATTCCTGACTTCTGTTCGCATATCCTGCAGACACGGACCTGCGCAAGGTGAGCTTGGCCATCTCGTCAATTTGACCCCCGCTGACAGAGCGCTTGGGCAGATCTACGTAGTCCACGCGCTTCCCAAGGACTACTTCGGGCGGAAGGACGGTCGCGCGTTCGACCGCTCGGACTACTACGCCCACCCAGACCAATACGTATCCGAGTTCCACACGAAGATCGCTCCGTACCTTTCCCTCCTCCTGCATGGCGCAGGGTGGGCCCCGACGTACCCCCGCTTGATGACGAACGAGCAGCTGACGACGACGCTCGAGATCGCGCAGACGTTGGGTAAGGGCCGGTTCGCGTGCGTAGGGGACATTAGCTGCGATGTCAACGTAAGTCTTGCCCCTCCGTTTCGTATCACGTCCTTCTCGCTCACAGTAAGGGCTCGGTAGGGCGGCTTGGAGTTCCTGTCGCAATATACGACGCTTTGTTCGCCGACCGTCGTGGCGCGACCCCCGACCCTCCCCGCGCATCTGCCGTCGGTCACGATGATGGCCGTCGATATCCTTCCCACCGCGCTACCGCTCGAAGCGTCCCAGCATTTCTCGGGGAAGTTCCTGCCGTACCTGCGGTCCATTATCTCAAGCTATACGAGCAAAGAGGCCGCGAGCGAGGAAGAGAGGCTCACGAGGGAGGCCCTGGAGAGGGCGACGGTCGCGAGTGGAGGCGAATTGAGAACGGGCTGGGAGTGGCTGAGAACGCCTCTGGGGGCGTGGAAGGAGAGCGTCGTCTCGGCCCAATCGGGCGAGGTCTCTGGGAAGGGGAAGGAGAGGGAAGCGGCCTCGGGGTCGCAGCCGAAGAAGACGGTGTTGATGCTTGGGAGCGGGATGGTCGCCCCGCCGGCCGTGCAGGAGCTTTGCGGCCGGTCGGACGTGCAGGTGATCGTCGGTGAGCAGTTGTAGACTTTTTTGGCGGGTTGCGCGCGAGCTAACCTTATGGTGCGTATAGCGAGCAATGTTCTGGCGGATGCCGAGCGGCTGACTCTGCCGTACGCGAACGCGACACCCGTGCTCGTGGACATGGCGAACCCGGAGGCGGTGGAGAGATTGGTCGCGGCGGCAGACGTCGTCATAAGGTATGTCCCTTTCGTACGCAGCGCTCAGAACGGGATGTTCAAAGTGAATGTAAACCAGCCTGTTGCCGGTACCGTTCCACCCTTCTGTCGCCGAGCTGTGTATACGTCATCGGAAGCACCTCGTTACGGCATCATACATCTCTCCTGCTATGCGTGCGCTACATGACCGGTATGTCGTCCCCTGTTGCTGAGCACGTGCTGTGTCTTGATCGCGACCAAATAGTGCCGTCTCTGCAGACGTTGTTCTGATGAACGAGATTGGACTGGATCCTGGCATTGACCATTGTTCCGCGATGTCTTTGATTGATTCGTTGCGAGAACAAGGCAAGGAGATCGTGTCTTTCACGTCGTTCTGTGGCGGCTTGCCTGCACCCGAGGATGCGGACGTTCCGCTTGGGTACAAGTTCAGCTGGAGCCCGAAGGGCGTTCTGACTGCTGCGTCGAACTCGGCGTTGTTTAAGCTCCACGGCGAGGTACGTCTAGTCAATCTCTGGAAGCCTTGCATCAAGCTGAATTGAAGAGTAACAGCGCTGCGAGATCGACGGCGAGGACTTGCTACGAACGTACTTCCCGGACGTTCCACTCTCCAATGTCCTTAAGTTCGAAGGCCTCGCAAATAGGAATAGCTTGCCCTACGCAGGTGTGTATGGCCTGGAACCCCTGGTTGGTATCCGAACAATATTCCGCGGGACATTGCGCTACCCGGGTTTCGCGGACCTCATGTATGCCTTCAAGGCTATTGGCTTGCTAGACGTTTCGGCCACCGTCAATCCCCAGGACTGGCAGTCGCTCGTCAGGGCGACGCTAGAGCAGAAACTGGGCATCCCCATCTTGGACGAGACTCGCTCGCTAAGGTCGGCGTTGCAAGACGTCATCCCTCCTAAACAGCAGGACTCTGTCTTGGACGCACTACATTGGCTGTCGATCATTCCTGAGTCCACATCGGAGCATGTACCCAGCAAGAACTTCGACCTCTCCCTACCGCCATTACCTAGCAAACCCACGGCGCCGATCGACCTCTTTGCCACTCTGCTCGCGCACAAACTGCGGTACGCGCCGAACGAGCGCGACCTCGTGGTCCTCTCGCACGAGATCGTAGCGCGACCAAAGGGCTCTCGGGTTTCTCTCACCGCGCCGTCAGCGGACGAGGAGGTCCACATGTCCTCGCTTGTCACGTACGGCACCAGGGATGCCTCGGCGATGTCGCGCACGGTGGGCTTGCCTGTCGCGTTCGCGGCGCTCCAGATTCTTGATGGAGGCGTGAGCGCGAGGGGCGTGCAAGGCCCGACGAGCAAGGAGGTGTATGGGAACGTGCTGAGGAGGCTGGAGGAGGTCGGGCTGGGGATGAGGGAGACTGTGAGGAAAGTGACGGCGCGGACCGCGTTGGGGCTGAGCGTGGAGGAGAGTTTGTGGGCGAGGTGGAGGGCGATGCAGGAGACGGTGTGAAGCTTGATTGGAAATCATGGGTGTACGTATAGTATAGATACCATTTGGACGGTCTGAAACATGCCGTCATACACGGCTACCACGCAAAGGCAGTACCTCGGGCGTGCTGTATTATGTGCGGTTTCCAATGTCAGCTATGGTGTAGGTGTTGATGATCACCCCTTGTGTGCTATCCCGAGCCCTCCCAACGAGGGAGAAGACCACCTTTCGCCCGATTGGTCTGCGAGCCTGATCGTGTCCGCCCGTGTAGTCATAATTGACAGCGAGCGAGGTCGCTATTGAGCCAATCGTACTCGCGAAGGCAATCGATTCCGTTTAAACAAGACTGCTACATGGCACCATTCATCGGATACCGAGTTCGTTCGTCTGATACGAGGACACTGTACAGGGATATGTATGTCTCGAACCTCCCCTAGGCGCTGAGGCCATGACGACGCCGCTGCGCGGTAGTCGACCACCAAAGGCTTTCGATACCCTCCGAGCCTGCTGCTTTCATGCGCTCTAAGAGTTGTGGTTTGACATCCTGGAAGCGTCGCTCCAATCTCTCTCCGTGCTCCACAATCTTCTTGAGGAAAGCTATGTAGCGTTGCTGCCCTTCTTGCAACTGTACATCAAAGCGACGTTCCCGGATGCAATAGTCCATGACAAAGCAGCACTGGTATACTCGTCTTGTTAGCGTACAATGCGACTCAGACGAATTTCGCAAGCTCACCTCGTCCTTCTCTGAGTACCAAGCTTGGGATAGGTAGGCGTATTGACCATCAATCATGAGGCCATAAACTGGGAAGTCGATAATGCCGAGGACCTTCAGAAACCAGGCAGCACTGGAGATGGCAATGCGCTGCTCCTGTCTAGCAGCGATTTCGCCCTTTGCCCCTTCTCCAAGCTGTTCTCTGACTAGCAGCACGGGTAGGCACAACGCTGTACCCTGCATGCTGCATCCGAACGCCGGACGATCTCCTTGTCCGGGGTCCGTCTCAAAAAACCGGAGCTCCTCAGACAACTCCTCAGTGCCCTCGGCTGCGTTTGAGAGGTTGTCGAAGAACGCGGGGATGGCTACGGTCACCGCCCCATCGATAGTGAATTTGGTCGGATAGTTGTTCAGGCGCTTTCTGAAGAGTCCCAGGACGGTTTCAGGACCATCAAAGGGATCTTCCCACGTCTTCTCGATATCATCGATGATGTCCCGCGCAGATGAAGTTTTCTTATATGCAGCAAAGAAATCTGGGCGTTTGTGGTATTGGGGGTGCTCTGTGTCGTTGAGCAATATCTTCCAATATTCATGAGTTGCATGCATATTGTGATTGATTGCCCGGCGAAAGGAAGAGTGCTCAAAGTGGTCCATGAGTGTGCTCTCGTCCTCGTTCAAGGAAAGGACAGTTTCGACCCCGGTCGCATGGGCGATGTCCCCAAGCAGACCCGTTCTGATGCAGGCGTCAACATTGCAGTTCGAGACGTTATAGCAGAAAAAGTGTACTAACTGGTACTGAATCGAGCTGGCCAGTGCAGTGGCGAAAAACGAATGGTGTAGTTGCGTCCACACCGTCGAAGATATCGACGTCATCCGGCTGCTCAACACAGTATTACGTATAGGATCCTGCCATTTGGGAGAGATGAGGGAGGAGTTTCACTCTGTTCAGGAGGGGGAAAACTTACATTCCACTCCTCGCCGAGAGGGAGGCTGTTATAGTATTCGAACATGAGTAAATGCCGTCTATAGAGCTTGGATGTTCTATCCAGGTTCAACGGGACTAAGAGGACGCGATGATCGAACAACCATTCTTCTATACCAGGATTATCTGAACCAGCTAGCCAGTCTCCCGGCTCACGCTCTGACAGAAGACTGTCGATCAATGAGTTGGCCATTTTAGCTGTCCTTATGGGAACGCTCACGATATGGTGGGCCTAGGTTTAGGGCCACTGTCGGCCCAACGAAGGCCACCGTAGCTGCTTCCAGACCCAATCAGTGACGGAGTCACTATCAGTCAGCATATGCATACCCTGGTGAGAGGCCTGAGGAGTTCATGTTTTCCGGACAAACTGACGCTGTTAATCTACGAGATGAACCTCCAGATCAATGACCGTCACAAATGGCATGAAAGGGTGGAGGAGACGGAGACCACGGTGATCAAAGCACGTGTACAGCGTCTGCTGTGCAGACTTGCGGGTCATATCCGACGCTGACTCGATCGTCATGGGCCTCATCGCTTCCTGGAAGATGTCGCGGATGACGATAACACAATACATGGAGACGTAGGAGGTAAATCACAATGTAAACGTCGCACAGCTCATAAAAGCCCGGAGTCAGGCGGTCCGGTTCCGAGCTTGAAAGCACCGCTGTCGACGTGAACGTGTCTCCTGGTCCATATTATCCGGACGCGACCCTCCGTAGGTCGAAGAACGCCAGTCAATCGAAGCAGGAAAGCGCAAGACTGGAGGTCGAGAACGCGGAGGATGATCTCGTCCAGAAGACGGAGGTTGCGATCAGGGCCCTCATGAAGGCTGTGCTCGAGAATGTACGGAAGAATCCGGCGACTATCATTCATCTTTACAGTACTGATTCCCTGTCTTACAGCCCGAACCTTTGAAGAACTTGAATGAGTTCGCCAAGGCTCAGGTCCGTCAGCTGATACAATTGTACATGCCAAGGAGTCACTGTCAGACGATGTGTTACGAGACAGCAGCTGATAGCTACAATTCGTCTTCATCCGACGTCGAGAATTCACCCTGGTACTGCTCCATCTGAGACAACGCTGTCCAGTCCAGGAACGGCAGTTTGGCCTCGCTGTCCTGGCTCTGCGCGCGAGCGTAAACCTGCTCCCTGCTCGCGTTGAAATGCTCCTCCAACTGCTTGGCGTGCTCGTTCAGCCGTGACAAAAAGTTGTATACCCGAGGTTCCCCATCTTCTGCCTCCAGGTCAAGTGGGTTCTCGAGGATATTGCGGTCAACGAGATAGCAACACTGTCGACAGTAGTCAGTGTAATGAATGCCAGGGAGAGTGAAGAGTAAGAGCGTTTTACATACATTGTGGGCATCTGAGTACCATGCTTGGGTGAGGTATCCCCGAGAACCGCAGACAGCGAGGCCGTAGACAGGGAAGTCTACTATGCCCATCGTTCTAAAGAACCAAGCTGCGCTAGCCACAGCCACACGTTGCTTATTCCTTGTCTCTGTCTGGAGCTTGTCTCTAGAAGCCTGAGATTGGTGATTGATCAACAGCACGGGAAGGTGCACGTCGAATTCCGAGTCGCACGCGTCGAGAGCCAGGTTGCGGTTTGGTGGGTTGCTCGAGAATACTCGCATATTTGCAAACGTACGTCCCCCATGCACATCGCCAAATCGATGAACCAATTCGTGCAAGAGACCCTTGATCGCGACGGTGTAAGCCAAGTCGACCTCTACGCCGACTGGGTAGGCCTGCAGCCGGTGCATCATACCGTCCCTTCCCTTTCGCGCGACGTCTACTAGATCGGGGTCTCTCTGGAGCTTTCGTGAACAGTCTGCGATCTCCCAATTTGCATACGCGACGCTGCATGCGGCCCATGTCTCCGCCTGTTCTGTCTGGCGATTACTACGAATCTTGGAACGGTGGATACGTTCAAGGTGCCAGTAGTGGTCTTGTAGGCCTTTAGCGATTCCCGTGAATGGTAACTCCCCGGGATGTTGTTGGAGGCGATCGAACTCGAAACAGCGAACGGTTTTGACCTCTTGGTGAGCGCTAATAAACGGTGAAGGCGACCTCGATGCGTGCTGACATTACTCATGTGTGACGTACTCACAGGACACATAGCTTGAGTTGAATCTGCTTCCCATCTTGGGATGGGTATACCTCGTTGACCCTCTGTAAGAGATCATATAGAGCCAAAGGTAGCTGCGGACCACCACCGTCCTTCCAATGATGCGATGCGAGGCGCTCCTGCGCTTCTCCGCTAGTACGGAATGGTAGTTGATGGTATTTTCTAACTACGTCCTCGATCTCCTCAAAAGTATCAGTGTCGGAGAGCAGCGGCACTGAGCGGACGTAGTGGTCTAGAAGCCATTCTTCCACCAGAGGATTTGGCAAGCCATAACCGCGCTCGCCGTTCGGGTCGCTATCCGTGATCATAGCTTCGTGTCTGTCCTCTGAATGGGAGCTCAAGCTTTTCCATCGCCATTTAGATCAGAGTTAATATGGTATTATCTCTATATCAGAGTAACGTACCCTGCTGTCACTGCAGAAGGTGATTGTGCCGGAGTTTCTCTACTTTGCGAGTCATGCCCGGTGGTATCTTGACCGTCCCGTACCATTTTGCTTTGGATATCAGATGGTGCAGATAGTAGGGGTTCCATGGTGGAAAGCCTATCACTAAGTGATTTCATATGATTCCTATTTCGTCTCGGAAATCATACAAAGTCGATATGGGAGACGTACCAAAGGTTCAGAGACCTCCTCGGGGAGCTGTGCAGGAAGATGTCCTCGGTGCCACGTAGGCGACCGCCTGTGCAGGATTATTGAGAGTTACTGTTGGTTACCGAGAATCAGGCCGGTTTAACGCTCTAAATTCATACCAATGCGACATTTTGCTATTTGAGGATTTTCGCTCTTCCGCCGTTTCAGGAGGGCATGGCACTGAAGGGTCGCGTGCATGACCGGGCTCAGTCTCCTTTAAACGATTGGTGAATGGAAATACTATGAATACAGCAAAGGGAATAATCCTCGATCCGGTCTGAGGCGGCTACCAGATGATGACGAGGTGGGAAAACAAGCTCGGACAACACTTGTATTCGTAAAGGACCCGCATACTACTCTATCACTTCATCTTCGTAAACATTTCTATGGAATGCCTTAAACATTGGATGTCTGCTTCGAGTGTTCTCTAACGAGAATCGCGGGTAGCACCATAACACAAATCATGGCGTACCTTCTCGTCGGCTAGGCGGACATTCGCGGAAACAGCTAACTCATAGTCGACCTGAGACTCGACCTTCTGGATCTTTGACGAGCTCATCTTAGCTAGGTCGAGCTTCTTCCTGCTCTTATTGCTCTCGCCGTCTAGATCTACTTGACCCTAGAACATACGACGTCCATTCAGCGAAAACACGACAGCGCAACAACCACTTGAAGACTCACCCTGACGAGCACGTGCAGGAAGACAGTCGGGGTGGGAAATTCAGACTCGCAGCCTTTAGGAAAGCCGCCGATGTCGCGAACCACCTCCAAAGGTTTCAGGTTCTTCGTGCGCCCAAGGAATGTTGGGACCTGAGATTCGAACAGCTTTGCCTCAGCATCATTCTGAGCACGAATATACGCTGCACAAAACATTCAATGAATCAATGCCAAAAAAAGCGACAAATCAACCAGAAGCTGACCATGAAGATTTTGGAGGGCATTGTAGGAAGCAGCAAGAGCATGAGCCGACTTGACGACGGAGAAGATGGGGCCGAGATTGATGCTCGGCCTGAGTGAATTCGTATGTCTTGTCCTACATTTCCCAAAATCACTGTTAGCTTCGATGACTGGATGAACGTCAGCAGACACGTACAAAGGTGGAGTACTTCGAGAGCATGATCGAGGGCGTCCAGTCATTGGGGCAGCATGGGAGACGCTGCCACCAGAGCTCCTCCCTTACGAATGGCATGAAGGGGTGGAGGAGACGAAGACCGTAATTCAAGCATGTGCGCGATCAAGCGTTCGCTGTGCAGACCTGCGCGTAGTCTCTGACGCTGACTGGGCTTTATCGCTTCCTGGAGACGTAGGAGGCGAATCATCATGTAAACGTCGCACAGCCCATAAAGCCGAGCGGCCCGTCAAGCGGTCCGGATCAGCCGGCTCGAGCTGAAGGCGGCCAACGTGCGCCTAAGTGCCGACGTTTTGTGAAAGCACCGTTGTCGACGTGAACACGTCTCCTATGGCCCATAGTACTATTCGTACGCGACCCTCCGTGGCTTGCCAAACGCCAGGCAGTCGAAGCAGGAAGCCGCAAGACTCGAGGTCGACAACGCGGAGGACGATTTCGTTCGGAAGACGGAGGTTGCGAGCACCCTCATGAAGACTGTTCTCGAGAACGTACGTTCAGTTCTCAACAACGTCGGTTGTCTGCATGAGCGCTCACTAGTTTGTTCCTGCTCTTGTTGCGGGAACCCCTGAAGAACCTTGACGAGCTCGCCACGGCTCAGGTCAGATCGGCTCCTGTTGTCGCCGTCTGGACGCCTACTCCTCGGAGTCATCCTCCTGTCACAGCTCTTATTCTATGCTACTGCCGCCGAGTCTCTCTCATCTGTACAAGGCGATATCTATGAGCTCGGCGGTGCCGCTCAGGGCTGATTTCGGTGCGTCTTCCATTTCTTGCCTCGACCCTCGTTTCCCTTGCTAATGTTCGGCTACAACATCTGCAGGAAGTCTCACAATCACTTGACTGTGGCATTCTTAATGCCATTACAGCTTGACGTCCCCTGCTGAGCCATGGCCGTATATGTCTGTCATACGGGCTACTGACGAAGGGCCATACTTTCCCGGCGTCGGCTTTGGACCGCGAGCAATGTATTGCTCTATCTTCCGTGTTATCCTATGTCCTGTCATCATTGTGGAAAACGTGCTTTGATGAGTTCACGTTGCGGCAGCATGCAACGCAGGTGCGGGTTGATGCTATCTTTGTTATGGTGACCGACATGCTCCCTGAACGTAGCTTTCCCAGCGGATACTCTTGGAACGCAGAGTCTGCACCCCACGTAAGCTTCCACCAACGAGCCGTTCAATCGGTGCTGACTCTCAAACACTGTACTGATAGCAGTACTGGACATAGGAAGTTTCTCAGAAGAGCTTCGTAGCGACAAATAATCCAATCAGGATGGTATGTAGGGTTTCAACAATATGATCTGCGGGCGCAGTCACCACTTCCCGCTCTTGTTTTCCGCTAGTCACGATGGGCTGCGCTGGTGTGAGGATACTGAGCTTCAGAGCATCCAAATTATGGCAACCCAATACACTTGTTGTACATGGCTAGTATTCGAGCAACCGTCTCACTCCGAGACCTCTTTGTCTACCTCCGGGTCCTCTTCGTCTACCTCCGAATCCTCTTCGTCTACCTCCGGGTCCTCTTCGTCTACCTTCAGGTCCCTTTCGTCTACCTTCAGGTCCCTTTCGTCTACCTTCAGGTCCCCCTCATTTACCTCCAGGTCCCTTCCGTCTACCTCCGGTGGGATGCCTCCTGGCCACACTTCTTCCAGCTGCGACCGTGAGGTCCAACTGAGCGACGCCCTGCCTTCCTCGGACTTCAAACGCTCTGATAACGATGGCTTGGCTTGTTCGAATCGGGCGAGTAGATCCGCCGCGCTCCTGTTTACCATGCCGAAGAAGTCGGCACAACGGAGGATTCCAGTTTCTTCAGCTATGTCGAACTCGGTGCCATCTCGGTCGACATCCACGATGAAGCAGCACTGACGATGAGTGTTATCAAGCCTGAGATACCCTCATGCAAGATAGACTTACGCCTTCCGATTGTGAGTACCATGCCTGGCATACCAGGCCTTTTGTACCATACGTCGCAAGGCCATACACCGGGAAGTCGAATATGCCAAGCGCAGCAAGGAAGCGCGCGGCACTGGTACATCCCATCCGTTGCTCGTTGATAGTCGCAACTTCGAGCTCAGTGCCAAGCCGCTGGTGGTTCACGATCAGTAGAGGAAGGTGTAGGCTCGAGGAGTTCACAGGATCATCTGTTGTTTAGTCAAGGGGTATCAGTCGAACCCTTTAGTCGCAACCATAAGGAGCGCTCACCAAGTTGATAGAATGTGATGGAATCCAGGAACCCCTGGTCGGCTTGACCATCTACATTGAGGGGAGCGATTATGGCGAGAGATGCATCCACGACACTGCCAGTAGGATATCTCAACAATCGAGTCCTGTAATCCTGCATTCGCACTTCGTATGCGTGCTTGAAGGCGCTAGACAAGTGTTGCATGTGCCTATAACTGTACCGTGTGTCGGACATAGTTTCCCTCTCCTGGCTCATGATTTTTGAGAACTCCCACAGAGGTCTGATGTCATCTAGAGAGTGCACAGCATCTCTCCCGGAGAGGACTGCATCGCGACGCGCCCTGAACTCTTCACGAATGACGCGTGCATATTGGTCCATGCTGGCATAGATCGTGCAGTAGGGAAGCACCTGACGGCCCAGTGCCTGAGTATCAGTGCTGACTGTTACCAGGGAATACGCTTGTGCCAATTCGTCGCATTCTGTGGATCTGAGGTATTCGACAGGAACCTTCATGCTGGAGTTGTTCAGTGGTATTATACATAGACATAGTAATCGCAAATTTAAAACTTACAAATACTTTGTCGGCACTCCAGAAGCATCTGAGGCCTCTCGGGAAGCCCACTGAGCGAGGTGACGCCAAGGCCATGACCAGCTTTCGAGGGTGGGACATTCGCCTTCTAGGTGAACAGTTGTCTCGAGTACTACAGTTGCCAGCGCGTAAATATCGGAATTCTCCTTTGTTTTCGTGTAAAATTGCAGGCGTGAGTTGACGGCAAGGGGTCAAAAGAGCGGTGCTACTCACCGGCATCCATGAGCCAGTTGTACTACGTAAGATTTTCAGATACTGGCGTACTTTCTCTTGAAATTCGTCATACACTGGTCCGTCGCAAGCCCTGGGAAGCGGCAGGGGGATTACGCTATGATCTAGCATCCAATCTATTATACCGGGACCCCCGCTTCCCGAATGATCGCTTCCCGGTACGGCCTCTTGATCGCTCTTCAGGTCGTGTTCAAGGAGCCTGAGACGTGATTACTAAGTTTATCTGTTTTGATGAGTTCGAGGAGGAAGCCTACCACAGATTAGATCGTGTTGGCCAACGAAGTCTGCCAGCTGACCTCAGTACGTGCGGACGCGGGACAATGACTATGTCTCACGACTGCCAAGATGTAGGACTCATGAACCCACAATCGAGATGTCCCTCGTTGTACAAGGAAGCTCTAATATGTAACGTCAACGCGTTGTTGTGATGAACATCGGAGAGTGAACAAACCTGCAGTCGTAAACTTCTCTATTCCACTCTCTTATCCACTCGTCAGTTAGTTGGTCCTCAGACAAAGTTTCCAGTATAGGGCCATCCCTCCAATGATGAATGCATTCACAGTCCACCCCAGGAACCGCTCGTTCAAGGGGGAGACTTGATGATATTGTGGCGAAGTGCAGGCCTATTCGGATGAGGAAGTCGGAGAAAGCCAACGCAGATGATTGATCATGGAGATTGAATACACCGTAATCGGGTGAAGTCCGCATCTTCGCACTAAGCGAAGTTGCGATATGCATCTGTTTCAAATGCACGTCAACTAACTGTGCGTAACCGGCCTCAACACGCTGGTATTCACCATGTGATCGACGTCATTGCTCTGTGACTCCTCCATCCATCCGACCAGTACCTGGAGCGTGGAGTTCGACTCGATTTGATTTTGAGTGATGCCCAATACGGGGATATCTTGACAGCCAAGCGCCTTGCGTTGATGCATAGCGCTGCACATCAGGGGTACGATGTCAGCGCGAGTTGCAATGCATAACATTGGGATTAGGGGAATGGGATATGTTGTCGAAGACGTGAAGTGTGCTTGAGGAATACTTGCTGAAATCTTGTGCAACTCATCGGCCACGGCAGCGCCCGCTGTCTCAGCTGTTAAGCATCCTATCTTAGAATTTGAGTCGAAGCACTAGCATGGATGACTACTGACATAGGGTATCAGATAGTCCATTACTAGTTTGGGGGGTTGTAGCAGATGATTGTATGCTTGCTGATGTGCCACTGTGAGCGTCCCGAGGGGTTACACAGTCTCCTGCATCCGTCAACGGGCGACCTAGGATACCGGGCAGTCCATCACAATCTTCGGGGGCTATAGCAGACGAATGTGTGCTCTCTAAGGTGTCACTGTGAGCGTCTTGAAGCGAATGTGCCTTCCATGTTGCGCCGTCTGCTGCATCTGTCATCAGGGCGCATACCCATAACAGCTCCGTCCGCGCTACTCACCGTTCCGTGTGAATGGAATGAGACCAAGCAGTAACGCCTCCCTATTCCTTAGCATATTGCTGGCACCATCCAGCTTCGGGAGGGCGAATCTGCTATTGATACTGCGGTATATCGTAATAATGGCATTAGTGAGCGTGGTCGAGTATCTAACAGCGAACTCACAACACCGAGCAGTTTGGAACAGTCTTACGGAAGACACACGCAATCACCAATAACCAGAGGGATCCACGATCGGTCAGGGGTTGGAGCTCGGGGTACCTAAACAAATAGTTGACGACTGAGTGGATTGACCGGGACAAACTGCTATGCATTTCTTCCTCATACAGTTAATAAGCAGCGTTCCGCTTGTGTGCACAGAAATACTTACCGTTCGGATTGGTAGAAAGCGTAGGGTCGGTAAGGATCGACGGATGGTGAGCGGGGTGTTGCAGCAAATCAGACAAGCTGCGAGCATGTGAAGGCCATTCTCCAGTCGGTGTTAGTGGGTGGAGAGATACTTGTAGCTTCTCTGCAGTATCGTAGAGCATGTCAGTACAAGTCATCTTGAGCGAGGTGAGTAGAGTGGGTCGTTATGAAAAATGCCGGTCTCTATCAGATGGTAAACTTCTCCCCTTGAAGCGCTCGGCGCCCACATATCCAAACATCGAAGTGTCCTTCTCTACACATCATCATGTCAGAACGTTTCTGTATACATGTGTACTGACACCAAATTTGTTTCAATTGGCAAAGCGCACTGCGTTTACGGGAGCAGTCGACCCTCAGTCGGCCTGCGACTCGACTTTTTCGTTTTTCGACCAGTTCGTCACCCAGCTGACACCGGACAGGTGATGTGTCCTCTGATTCCCAATAGTCTACCATCCTCCTGGCCTGTGCCTGCCCAGAGTGTAGCGGACTGCCGCCCTGACACAATTACTTCTATCGCGGGGTTCTGCTATGTATGCTGTAATGAAACTTGAATTCGTGATCGCTGATGAAGCTGAAGGAGAGTCGCCTAGCATACGTGCCGTATGGTATTCTGTCTTGTGAGCCGCAAATTTGATTCCCTGCACTATACTCGAGGAGGACATACCGATGGGCCAGAGATGAGCCTGTGTATGGAGGTAATGGACGACTTTCCATAAGGATTTACGGCTCTACGGACGTCCGTAGATTTCTAGGCGGGGTTTGAAACAGTCTGTGGATCTTGGGCGCTAAACAGGCGGCATGTTCTGCTCATCATCAGCACGTGACTGGAGTGGCTTATGTCATGTCTGTATTTGGCATGCAGTTCGCTTTGTCATGATGGCTCCTTCCTTTCTCGTGGTCACGGCACCGTATGCCGAGGTCTACGGACTGTCTACGGCCTGTTAGAGATTTAGAAAGGGGGGTCGGACCCCCCTCCTAGATTTTGACGTCCGTATCCTAAATTTCATCAGCGGAGTTCAGATCTGGTGTCGGCAACACTGCCCCTTGCCCAAATCGGTCTGTTTAGAGATTTACGGACGTCCGTAGAGCCGTAGATAGCTTATGGAAAGTCATCCATTGATGAGTCAATTGATGGACGGTAGAGGGCGAAGGTGCGGGCGCTCGGGCAGCGGGCCGAGGGAACGGCAAGCAGCGGACGCGGACCGGGAGTCTAAGCCTACTGCGAGGACCGCCACCTCCGTAAGTACGCCGAACCCGAACTTGCCATGCCGCCTGCGCACAAGGACGGACGGGCTGCGGCACTCTACGGACCTTTGCGACGGCGTATGATAGAGAACGGCGACTGGGACAGGTGCGCGCTTCGATTGGTTTGGCCGGTAAACATGATGAATTAGACAGGAGCTGACAACATCGTATGCCACAGGATATGCTCCCGGTTGGCACGCGAGCTCAACGAGAGCGGATGGATCGACCGGTTCAAGGACAGGAGCAAAGGTATTTGAACCACAGCTGGACGCAAGGAGGGGTGCTCACCTCTGAGAGGACAGAAATGGCTCGGAGCGCCGAAGGGAACGGCGGCGTCTCCGTCGACTCACTTCTTGCTGAATTGCTTCCTCAGGCTGAAGGTACAGATTATGTTTGTTTCGGTGTATCAGTGAGGAGACAGATACTGATTGCGTGTGTCTCAGAAGAGATTCCAGTCAACACGCGACAGGAGATAGTCAGCGTGATTCGTAAGTTACTGGAGAGGCAGATCGAGTTCACTTGAGTGGTGCCGAAGAGGGCTTCGAGGCGATATTGAGAAAATTGTGCTATACTGAGCTCTGTTCTACATGTTTTCGACTAGCATGTGTCGTGTATGTTATTGGTTCACCATTTAGCATGCGAGTGGCGGGGAAAGAGGCAGTTTCTATAATAGGGTGAGAAGCCGTTAGCGCCCGACAGCTCTGCGTGTGCAGGTGACGGTGTCCACCGTCCACCGTCTACTGTCCCAGCCAAGGTCCCCCCACGCCTCCCTCAGCAGCCATGTTCTCCAGGTCGCCCAGAAGCGCAATCTCTGCGGCACAGAGAGCTGCTCGTCTCCAGAGCACAATTGCGATGTGCGTTCCGTCTACTTCAGACTGACCTGACGTTGCGGATTCGACCTCACGCGTCTCTAGACCTGCTGCCTCCAGCGCGTCGTCCTCCGCCAACACGCCAGCATTGCCGCCCCAGAGACTGACAGAAGCTCAATACGCAGCAAGCGTCGTCCATGGACGTAGCGTTCGCCCCCCATTCTACCTTCCCAAAACGCATGGCATCCCCGTCGCGACCCTGCACTTCCGTTCGTACCATCCCAAGCTCCTCGACTTCTTCGTCCACTTCGCCAGTCACGCCGCCACTGCGCTCGGCATCCCCATCTCAAAGCCGGTCCATCTTCCCACCGAGAGGAGGCTATGGACGGTCCTGCGCGGCCCATTCGTCCACAAAAAGTCTCAGGAGAACTTTGAGCGGAGGACGCACAAGCGCGTCGTGAAGGCGTGGGACGCGAACCCGGAGGTCGTGGATCTGCTCGTGCAGTACCTCGAGAGGCATATCGCGCCGGGCGTCGGCCTGCGGACGGTCCAGTGGAGGCGGGCACCGGTGGGCGTGGGCCAGAAGACGTTGGAGGCGGTCATGGGTTCGTTGCGGTTGGACGACCAGGTGCGGCGCGAGAAGGTGAAGGCGTTGGGCGAGCAGATTGTGAAGCAGGAGCTGGCGAGTGCGGCGGAGGCTGCGAAGGAGGGTGCGGTGGCGAAGACATCGCCCAAGGCCGACAAGAAGAGTTCATAGTTCCTGTGTCCTCTACGCTTTTACTGCATCGACATCCCCCTGGATTGTATTGTCCAGGTAATATACGCATCAATAGACTACCATCGGGTATTACTCCTGCTATGCCCGCCTGTGTGTCGATATCACACCAGCTGCTACGTTCGCGCGTATGTTCTCGACACATTCTTGATTCGCTGTTCGGAGCCACGTGGGGAAAGAACTGACACGGGCGTCTAGACGGTTCGTCAACGCTGTCTTCGACCACCACCATCCACTCTCCGCCCATCGACGCCTCACAATGACCTCCTACGAAAACGACCCGTTCTACCTTAGGTGCGAAGACACGAAGATGACCTCCCGGCGTGTGCAGGACTGACGTCTTGCTCACGCCTCATTGCAGGTACTAGTAAGTCTCCCTTCTCTTCTTGCGCCTGTTTTCACGCGCCATATGCGCCGCCAGACCAACAATGCTGACTGGATTTGCAGCACAGGACACTCTGGCAAGCACGGCCACGAGTTCTTGGAGTTCGAGTACTCCCACGGACGCCTTCGTTACGCAAACAACTCCAACTACCGCAATGACAGTCTCATCCGCAAAGAGAGTACGTGGCTACGTCTTCCTGACAGTCCGAGACATACGCAGTCATATAAGGAACTGGGATTGGGCTGATGCTCTGGTACTGCACTAGTGTGGGTTGGCCCACTTGTCGTAAAGGAGCTCAAGCGTATCATCGAGTCGAGCGAGATCACCAAGTGAGCGTCCCCTGCTACCTAATCGCGGGTGATAGTTGCTGAAACCAGCTCAGGGAAGACGATACCAATTGGCCCAAGAAGAACATCGTTGGGAAACAGGAGCTCGAGATCCGCGTTGGCAACGACCACATCGCTTTCGAGGTGCGCTCCCGCTGGTCATGTACTGTGGCATGCATTGTGCTCATTTACGTGTATCTGCGCATGCTTGTAGACTGCAAAGATTGGCTCGTTGGTTGATGTCGCGGACAGTGAGGATCCGGAGGGTTTGCGTGTGTTCTATTATTTGGTGCAGGACCTGAAGGTATGTTCGGATACACCATCACTATCTTGGTCTCAGATGCTAATATGTGTATGGACAGTGCCTGATCTTCTCGCTGATCTCCCTCCATTTCAAGATCAAGCCGATCTAAAAGGGCTTGGCTTGGTCACCAACGCCCGGTTGCGACTGGCTTCACGCCTGTGTCGTAGTCTCTCTCTGTCTGTTTATCGTAAATTGGTGGTGTTGAATGAATGTTTCTGTACTTGCTTGTCCAACTCGCTGTGTGACAGCTTATCCTCGCGTCGATTTGGCCTATGGTTTTGAGTTGGAACCCTAACCTATATTGATACGCCTAGTCCACAATTACAAGATTGCTTCGTGACATGACTACAAGTGTCAAACAGGAGTACAGATAAGTTATCCACATCGTCCGGCATCAGGTCAATCGTTGACCATATAGGCTTTATACTCAGGAATGTGCAACACTAGGCACCGAATAGTTAGTTCCGTCTAAGACATTTGGTCAGAATGGCACGTACCCGACTTCCCAGGTGCTATCTCTGGCGATGCAAAGGCCTTCAGACAAGACGGGTTGGGTGGGCGGCAAGCATTGGCTAGCGGCCGCGGAAGCAATTTGAACCTATGAAGGAAAGTGTAACTAGTGAGTCCGTCGTTCTCCCGACATGTCCAATCTGGGAAAACACCTACAAAATCGAGCCAGCAGTATGTGAGCGGGTCTGGGCCGAGGTTCTCGAAGAAGAACCTGCAGGTCCCGAACGTGATCGTCTGGACGTGGTTCGGGTCAACGGTGAACGTCGGACCTGTGTGGGGTGGCCGTGGGCTGTGAGAGCGTGCTCGGGACGGGTACTGCAGAGACGACTCACTGATCTGGCCGTTGAGGATGGTGATGGAGTTGACGAGCGCCTGACAATCATCCGTCGTGGGCGGGAGCTGTCCGAACTCGTTGCAGACGTTGGTGCAGATCGCGCCGCAGACGTTCGTCCCCGTCTCAGTCGGGGCTGCCGCCGACGCGGTGGTGGTCACGGTGACTACGTCGGTCTCGGTCGCGCTCGACACCACCGTGGTCAGGTCCGTCGCCGTCGTCACTTCCGTATCTGTGAGTGTAGTGAGTTCCGTCGCAGTGGCGGTCGTCACTTCGGTCGCGGTCGCGGTCGTGGCGGAGACGCTGGTGATCAAGGATACGGAGACTGAGGTCACGGTGTCGGTTTTGGTCGCAGTCGTAGCCTTCGTCACGGTTTTGGTTGACGTGGTCGGCTTCGCTGGGGGCGCCTTGGCGCAGTCGAGGGAAGGGAAAAAGAAGTAGAGGATGCCGTCGAGCCAACTCCAAACCCCAGGCAATGCGGCGCAGTCATGCGCGGCCACGCCAGGTGAAGTAGAACTGACGGGTGCCTCGCAGGAAAATTGCCCGAACTCGATCGTCCCGTTGCCGACCGTGAGCGAGGCGGCGGCGACCGCATTGGGCTCTAAGCCGGCAGCAGTGCACAGGCTGCTCGAGTTGGTGGCAGATGCCTGCCGAGCTGATAATATACGTGTCAGGTCAGCGTGTTCTGTATGAAGGGGAAGAGGGGAGTTGGCCATACCAACAAAATGCGGCGTCGTGAGCGCAGTGCTGCTCACTGCGCAAGCGAGGAGGACGAGGATGGCTGTCCAGGCAGAAGTCATGGTCGGATGTGGCCTGCGGCTGGGTTGAGCCTGCGTGACGTCGTAGAAAGTCTCTGGGGTTTGGATCGTCCGACGGCGGCGATAGGTCCTCTCATATGCTACCTTTTATACGGGGCTTCGTCTCCCTTCCTCCGACGATATATTGCCTCGCTGGCTTGGACGTCGGTTGCTATCGAGCAGGCGTCCGGCTACAGGCGAGGGACGTGTGAAAATAAGAGACATGAAGCGATGAAAACGTCAAGCAATGTGTCCAGGCCAGGGACCTGATGTGATGTCGCGCGGTGGACGACACGCATCCGAAGAAAAGAATGGGAGAAGAGGACGTCGGGAGGAGGGCGGTTTGGCCCACCCATCGTGCCATTGAATACAACCGGGATGTGCCTAGGACGTGATGTCCCGTGGCTGAGCATGCTGGACAACTCTTGAGTGCTTTACGAGAGTTTTTGGACGGACCATGCGTGCTCAGCTCATTTTCCTGTTCTCTGATTCAATTAGGCTTTCGGCCCTAACTTTTTGTGGAGACTTGCCAAAGCTTATTCGTTCCGCGCAGTCTCCTACTCGGGACATCCCGTGGAAGCGAGCAAAGTCCCAGGTTGGACAGCCAGCTGACGGAGCAGAGAAGTAGGAACCTGATAGAGGGAGCTAACGCACTGTGGCCGGTGTTGATTGTGTCTTGAGGCGGCTGTGGTAGTGGTCCGGATGTCGGCCAGAACGGATCGCTGGACTCGGAGCTATGCTCCGTGGGATCACGGAACTAGAAGTAAGGCACCGAGGGCTTCTCGCGGATGCGTAGGTACTGGCGGGATCGCTCTGCTGTCATAGACTTAGAGACGCCTGAATGAAAATAATAATCTTTCCGAATCTTCATGTTGATGGAGTGCTCAGTGTAGTATTTACCTTAACAGGGTGAGATGGTGATGTCTGCCGTTTCATAGATGGCAGGCAGTGAAGATCTATCTAGATGCCGCGACGGCGAAGAGAGATGAAGCCAATGATGTTCTCACCACTGTCCAGAAACGTCCCCTCGAACCGACGTCTCTGCACATGTCCGCCCCTGTGAGGCGCAGGCACCTGAGACGGGTGCTCTGCGGGGGCAAGAGGCATTCTACATCCACCGGCATTAGGACTGCAATTCATCGGGAATAGTGGGTGCCTGGGCTCTCCGTCGTCCTAGGGTGCCAGACTCGCTGGTACGAGCTGTCCTTTGAGAGTGCTCACAGACTACGAGCTCGGAACGAATGGTAGGCGTAGTGAGATCATCGGATACTCCCACAACGGAAGATGTCACAGCTGTGCGACCGGACAACTGCTCGCACAGCCTCCCCGGGTGTCGTATCCACACACGCTGCATATCTCATGAGCGAAGGACCGCTGGAACTGGGACGGTCTGTAACTCGATACTTTCCCGACAATCGGATAGTTTACGCGATCGCGGAGGGCTCACTGTACAGGATATGATACTGAATTGAAATGAATAAATAGCATAGAGCCGGGATCAGGCTCTATTGGCAGCGACTCGACATGCCAGCACGACTCATCGACTGGACTGACGATGCAGGTCAGGCAGCGCATAGTAGCCGGTTGCGAAGGCTTAGTAACTTCCAAGATCTGAGGCTCCACTTGGAAAGGTCCGATATCACCGTATACGCTAAACAGAGATGACCTCGTCATGAGCCTAAGAGGCCGTCGGAGGCAATCGACACATGGTCATCACACTTTCGTATACATAGACGTCACCGGAGTATATTGACCTATCGACCCAATGTACAACATATTCCCAGAAATATAGAAGCTACATATTCCACAACATCTCAGGGTCGTCAACTGGACTATGCTCAAGAGTGAGCGGCACTAGAAGCCAGTTGAATGTGAGTATATGACATGAAACCATACAATGACAACTATACGCACCCAACCTGCCAGAGACCATCGGCAGAAAGGCAGAGCCCCTCGGAATGGACAGGCTGAACGGGCGGGAAGCAAGCCGACCCCGCGGCAGCGGCGGTTTGGCCCTGCGTGCCAAATTCAGGCAGCATCAGTGAAGTGTTGGAAGAAAGCATGAGTCGAGAGACGTACGAAGGCAAGCCAGCAGTTTTCCACACTGTCCAGGGCGAGGTTCTCGAAGAAGAACCGGCACGTTCCGAAGGTCAGCGTCTGAGCATGGCCTCCATCAACTGTGAAAGTCGGCGCTGCATCAAGTAGTATTAGCGTCGCGGAAAGTGTTCAAAGAGTCGGACCAGAACTAGGATATTGTCACGGACAGGACTCTCGGGCGTCGTCAAATGATACAGCGGGACGTGAACCTCTAACAGGAGGTGGGTCGACTTACATACGGAGCCATTGAGGATAGTGATCGCATCAACAATGGTCTGGCAGTCCTCCGTAGTCGGAGGGAGGTTACCACTATCGCTGCACACGTTCTGACCTGCACCAGCAAAAGAATCAGTTCATGCAACAACTAGCACGATATAACGTGTTTGTAGGAAGCCGGCCACGCACAAATTTCGCCGCAGATATTGGGAATCGGCGTCGCGGTTTGACGCTTGGTAACGGACGTGCCACAAGAGAGCTGTGTGAGCTCGACTTCCTTGTCCCCGACAGCGATGGTGGTGGTAGAGACCGTCTTTGCGTCAGTGCAGAAAGATTGGTCGCGAGCTTTCAAGAACTACCGTCAGCCGAAGACTTTACAATGGGGAGGAGGAAAAGCGAGAACTCACGGAGAAGAGACGCGTAACTGGTCGCTGCGATGGCAGCAGAGACGAGGGCAAAACAGAAGGCCTTCATAGTGGATCGTGAGTACAAGGAAGCGGGTCTGCTAGGTAGAGCTTGTGAGCACGAAGGGGAGATCCAGGACCTCTGAGTAGACTGTCAGTCGATACACAGGCTTTATAGGGATATGTGCTTGTGGTGCCCTCCAAATCCAGAGCGACGGCCCAGAATGCATTCCGGCTTTCCATCCTCCACTGTTCGGATGCTCGAAGCGGAACGACAAGCGGGGGACGGCAATGGCAAGAATGTCCGACGTTCTCCGTACCGCCGGGTGAAAGCATTACTCTGTATGCCAGGGCCAGGGCACCGCGTGGACCGAGAAGTATGTTCAATTGCCACAATACACGATGGTCGTAGAAGGCCAGAGTCATCTAGCCGCCAACACTGGGGTTGCAAGCGCCTTAAGGAACCCGCCCATGTATGGGTGCCTGTGATGCCGTGGAATTGTGAAAAAAGCGACTCACTCACGGCATTGTGCTCTGGTAGAACTCCTTCAAATACTGCCGCGTCCAAAGAACATCGAGAACACAGCATCCTTTTCGCTTCGAGAGCCTAAATGACTGTTGTAATTGAGGTCATCCCTGAGGCAGGATGAGAATGACAAAAAACGACAGGCCGTATACGGCGATGGAAAGGCTGCGACAGCGCTTGCCGGCGGCTGCTTCCTATTCCTATTGCCTGCGATTCATGCAACGTACGTTTTGCCGACCCACAGTGTGAGAATACAACTTAGGAACGTCAAGGGAAAACAAGGCCGGGTGTGGTCATGACACGGTACATACTGTTCCCCGTATTAGTGGGATATGGCCAAGATCGAGCCCACCAATCATATGCGTTTCAGCTGGACTGGCAAGGATGATGGACTTCTGAGGGACTAATCTGTATCAACATGAATGACAGGAACCAGAACTCACCGTGCGCTCTTCGGCGATAGTCGTGTCATGTCAAATGGGCATTGCCATGACCGAATTGTGAGCCGCACACCGCGGATGGCAGTTGACAAGGAACGGCGCAGCAGCCGCGTGAGCGTTGTCCCTGCGCGCGTCGCGGAAGCAGAGTCAGCGATCCTTTCTCAGCGATGTTATACACCGCACATACCTTGTCGAAGCGGACCTGAATTTCGGTGGTCCGGGTTGACTCTCCACGAGCATCTGACACCTTCGATAGTTGGGCCGCATTCTGAGCGAAGTGGTGCCTGACAGTGAGTCCCTTCCAGGAATTATGTCGATTGCACGGGGACGAGGCCCAGTATGCCAAGGACCAGCTTGCTCGGGCGGTACAAGTGAGCAAACGCCATGGATGTTGCTGCACTGAAGCGGTCCGACCAACGGCGGATTATAAACGGCGGATTTCCCGCATAGTAGTCAGCCGTCCGCGAAAACGGCGTCAAAGATATCCTGCCGAGCATGGGAGTACCTAACGATTCAGGCAGCTGAGCCGCACAGCAGAAGCATTCTGTTGATGGAAGCTCACAGGTAAAACTTCGCAGGTCTTACAAGAGTTCCCGCCGAAACACCGAGCGTACAACGGCGGCACTTACTACAGTATCATATGCATGGATGACTCAATTGGACACGGTCTACACGAGTCCCACGATTAAGGGTCGAGAAGGGTACCTGCGAGTGCAGCTAGCGCCGTTCCGCGTGCCATTGTCTATTTCGAGGCCTTTGTGAAGCTCATGGGCGATGGAGGAAGACGATACTAGGTCTACAGGCGTGCTTGAATCAAGACTAGAATAACTTACGCAGGGGTGAGCTGCAGATCGGCTAGCCAGGACAGCAACCCATGGCCTCACTAGAAAGCCTTCGAACAACACTTGTACATGCTGCGTTGGAACTAAAGCATCCCGGCGCGCAGGATCGTAAGGACCTGAGATAAGGAGGCCGACAATATCGTACGGGCACACAACCGTGGAATGGCGTCTGCGGTACGTCACGGGCGGTAGAGGCTAACGGGCAGTAGCCTGTCTGGCAAGAGACAATTAGAGCTTCGACGACCCCTATTACAAGAGAATGGTGAACACAGTCTCTAAATTTGAAGTCGGCATATCGGAGAGGTCTTGTGGGATCCCAGAAGGGTCTGAGCAGGCACTGTAGCTAGATGGACGAGCAGGGATCGGCTCGTTCCCATGATCTCGTGAGATGGCTCTCAAGGGAGGCTCTGGAACGACCCACTGCAATGCCGCACATACAGCAGGGCATATTGGGCGGTATTCACAAAGAGGTTGAGCTGCCATTGAACCGTATCTTGAGACGGATCGTCCGTCTGCACCAAGCACCATGTCCAATGCGGGATCAGCGCCTAGACGTATGAGGTCAAGATGTGCTTGCGAGGACGGCCTATGCCGCCATCAAACACATGGATGCCATGCGTCAAGGGCGAAGACCCCATGAGAGAACAAGAACAGGACTTGAACACAGAGAGGATCAACGAGAACGCGCGATAGCCCACGAGCTGCATTGCGCAGAGGAATCTCGGAAAGGCAGCAACGCACATGGGCCCGCGGGAGGTATAAGCGAGGCTCTGGAGGGACAAGCGAATTCGAAGCATACGAAGACGTGGGAATGCGGTCGCCGTGGCCTCAGCAGTGCCCATAGCCGAGAGTCCTCGTGACGGAATAAGATGGACACGGGCGAAGACAAGAACGCCGTATGGGAGGCAGGCAAGGCCGGCGGTCGAGCGAAAATTGTGACAAGCATGAGAGTCAGCGCTCGGAAGTCGTGCCGACTGCTCGGCATCAGCGAGGAGTGCTCGTGTCGTTCATTCACGCTGAGGATCGCCGCGAGACAAGGGGTGGTAAGGGGACGGTAACCGAAGGCCCATCATTGAGCCCGAAATGACGAGGAGAAGCCCCGTGGGGAAGGGCGACGTAATAGGAGAAAGCTTGTCGGACGGGCTGGGGATGGGATGTAGAGGCTTACTGAATGGCTCATAGCACAGAAATGTTGACGGGCAGCGCATAGGATGCGCCTCAGAAATGCATGGCATATCATGAGATAGACAAGTTCGAGCTTGAACTTACCGGGAGGGAGACTCCATTCCCTCAGGCCATCGGAAGACGTCCTGACAGTGAAAATGAAACACCCTTTGAGTGCCAATGGGGGAGGAATGATGAGCGTTGGTGGGACGAATGGAAGGTCCGTGAAAGGGCTATTGACGCGTTCATTGCTGCGAGCCGAGGGCGAGGACGAATACCAAGCCGATCTGACGCACGGAACAACTAAAACGGTGTCAACGACGAGCAAGCTGTATGGACAGTCATGAAGTGAACATTTGAGCGATATGTGGAGAAGGAAGGAGGAGGAAGTGGCAGCAAGCAGCATGGGGAGGACTGAGGGAGCGGCGAGGCGTTGGGAGCAGGGCAACAGGCGCCGGAATGGGGGATGGCGGTCACGGGACAAAGCTCCGGCAAAGGGCGAGGCGGGCGGCTGGGGGAGAGTGCTGGTGGTTGAAGACGAAGACTCTCTTGTGCTCGACCGTCGTCCTCTCCAGCCACGAACGTCTCCGCGTCGTCCCGTCCCCCTCCCCTCCTCTCCCCATCATCCGCGTCGCCCTAGGAGCTGACGCGTCGGACTACTCTCCGCCACGCCAAATATCTGTTTCCGCTCGTCATGGACCCATACACTTTCGGAGGAAAGTACAGGCTCGAGGAGGAGATCGCCATAGGCGGCTGTGGTTCGTGCACTCCCTCACCTTGTGTGGCGTTGCTTTGTACGCACTCTGACGCGTCATGCAACGCAGGCACCGTCTTCCAGGGCGTACACACCGTCGCTGGCAAGGAAGTCGCCATCAAGCTCGAGCCAGCCATCGCCAAATCGTCCCCGCTTAAGCAGGAAAGCAAGATCTACAAGACACTCATGGGCGGCCCCGGTGTCCCATGGATCAACTGGTCCGGAAGGCAGGGTGACTACAATGTCATGGTCATCGACCTCCTCGGCCCGTCGCTCGAGGACCTTTTCCGCATGTGCAACAGGCATTTTTCCCTCAAGACTATTCTCATGCTCGCAGACCAACTGGTGAGTTCCCGTCTCTGTCCTCGAGCTCTGGAGCAGGGACACGCCACTGTGCGTTGTCTGGCGCTTTCGACGATGGCGTCGGGCGCGGAAGGGTTGCGTAGGGGGACGGTGGGCATGAAACGGGCTTCGGCCATTGCTCAGCGCCTATGACGCAGCTTTTGGCCGCATTCGGTCGGCGGCGCTCGCACGTTCGCTCGCATGTTTCACGGGCGTCGTCGCAGCTCATTCCACCGTCGCTGCAAGTGAGATACGCGTCGAGGACGCATGTTTCTTGTCTCCGCTACGCCACTCATCTCGACCAGTGCGGTCCTTCGCTTGTCCACTTGCACTCACGTTCATTTCCGGTCTCCATCTTCTTCTCTGCCATCCTCGGCAGATTCTCGTGCTGACACCTTCCTGTAGATCACGCGCATCGAGTACATCCATTCCCGCGACTTCGTCCATCGTGACATCAAGCCAGCAAACTTTGTCGTCCCCAAGCGTGCAGAGTCTGGCGAAGCAGACTATGTCGTCAACGTCATCGACTTCGGCCTCGCCAAGAAGTTCCGCGACCCTCGCACAGGCGCCCACATCCCCTACCACCAGGACGACCACCACGGCGTCGGCACATGTCTCTTCGCCGCCATCAACACACACCTCGGCGTCGAGTGCTCTCGCCGTGACGATCTCGAGGCCCTAGCCTACATGCTCATCTATTTTCTCCGAGGCACCCTCCCCTGGAGGAAGATCAAGGGTTCCACCGTCAGTGAAACTTGGGATCGCATTCGTGACAAGAAGCTCGAGACCGAAGCCGTCCTTACCGTCGGTCTTCCACCCGAGTTCGACATCTTCTACAAGTATGTCCGCGGTCTCGACTTCGACGACCTCCCAGACTACGAAGGCCTTCGTTCCCTATTCCGTGGTCTTGCTGAACGCCAGGGTATCGAGTACGACGGTGTATTCGACTGGTGTGTTGCCCGCCCAGGCGAAAGCGGCCTTGGAGGTTCCGACGAGCCTGCGAGGAAGCGCAAACGTGTCTGCCGGAGCTGCTCCGCTTGTGCAGCTGCAGCCGAGCGTGCTGCCGCTGTGACCGCAGCGCAGGCTGCACGTGCCAATCCGCGGAGGAAGGCCAGTGCGTAGGGATGGTGTGGGTAGGGGTGTGTACGAGGCTTCTTGGAAGCTACGACGTAAGTGTTGCTCCAGCCGTATAGCTCAGCGGTCAATATCTGACGCCGCTTCATGAACAGTAGGCTTGTAAGCCATGCTTGGACAGCGCGCCCGGCGAGGCGAGGGATATGCAAGATGGAGGCGTCCCGCATGTGTATGTGCAACTGCGATTCGGACCGTGATGAGCGGGACGCCACCTCCACTTCTCTCGAAATGACAACCAAGACGACATGCGGATACGGGGTGTAACCAGCCCTTGGACCACTATGGTGGTCTAGACTCGATCGTTCAGCTTTGGCTTTGGCGATCTTCTATGGGCTGACAGGTGTGGCGACCGTGTTATATTTTTCAGTACGAGTGCGTCCTTTTTGTCTGTTAGTGGAGTAGAAGGGCATCCACTCACACCATCATTGTAGGTCAAGCCCACCATGCCCCCGGTCCCTATGCCCGCCGCGGACTCGTTCCTTGCCCTCTCGGAGGGAGAGCTGTACTGATTGTTGTTGTGCGACTAAGTTACTAAGTTACGAGTCTGTATGTGTAGTACCTCATTATCGCGCGCACCTACCCTCCCCGACCCCGACCCCGCCCCTACCCCAGTGCTCCCATCATCCTCTCACTCCTTGACCTTGACTCGTTGCTCCGTTCCCTATGTCGGTATCATGTGCGCAGTTCATCGACCGCATTCCACGAGTTGCGCATCCCATTGCGCCCACTGCCCTCATATTATGCCATGACGCATATGCCTCCCCCGTCCCGAACTTCTCATCGCATCTCCCCCATGCCCGCACTCAAAGTATGGTATCGTATGCATATGCGTCTATGGCCCTCCCTTGCCCTTCTCCATTATTTCCCTGGACTGCGAAGACGAACTCCTGGATGTAAATTATCGTGTACATAACGGGTTGGTATATCGATTCCGCTACAGCGCCTTGCATAAGTCCGTGAACGCGCGGATTTTTTTCTCTCCGGCGTCTAAACCACCCGACCTGCCTGAACAGGCCACATCATGGTCACAGGCCCAGACACGACGGGCAGCGCTCGGGATCCCTTCGCGTGAAACGGAGGTTTGTTTTCGGGACAGTCGTCCCTTTGCCGACGCGTGCCAAAGGACGCTGAAGGGTCGGCAATGGGAAAGTTGTACTTGCTCAGAGGTTCTACAGCCCTTTGACAAAGAACGATTCGAGGCGGTGCCCGTAGTGAGAGCATGATCATGTATATGCGACTGCACCTTTACTATGGTACCTCCTGTTTAGATCAGGGTACAGGATCCCCTGGGGGCCAATGGGCACTCAAATACAGACATGGAAGTACCGCACGCATATCCATACTTCAAAACATTGTGGATTTACCTGGGTATGCGTGTGGTCAACCAACGGGGCCGTGATGCGCTGTCATGGAGTAGTCCCTGTGACCGTGATATGGCCTTTTTAGGCAGGTCGGGTGGTTTAGACGCCGGAGAGAAAAAAATCCGCGCGTTCACGGACTTATGCAAGGCGCTGTAATTCTTGGAAGGCATTTTGTACGTGTCTGCCTTCGCGGGCACCTTTGGATTTGACATATGTAGCAAGAAGGGGACAGGCGCCCGCAGGTCGCGGGAGGACGCGCGCTTCTGATACTTTACGACTCGCGTTCACTGTTGTGCCGCAGCACTGCGCTTCATAGCCGTCCTTTGCCAACCAGTTCTTCGTGCGCTACCTGACTGTATTTCTCACCACCGTGCTTCAATCGACGTTCAACAAAGACACATTTCCGTCCCCCATCAGAGCCACTTCCCTGTAGGCACCTCACTTCTTCAAGGCACCTCAGGAATCCGAGCGCACCCTTTCCGAGAGCCTAATATCAGCCGCCGACACCGAGATACTACTCGAGAACGATGTCTGCGCAATCATTCACAGTGAACGAGCGGGTGCTCTGCTACCATGGACCTCTCATCTACGAAGCCAAGATCCTCAAAGCGGAGACGTGGGACGAGAGGAACACCCAATCCGGCGTCGTGGGGCCGCATTATTATGTGCACTACAAGGGTTGGAAGCAGACGTGCGTCGCCTTTCTCCTACCCTCGTCAAACCTCTTTGCTGACTTTGACTTGATGCTCGCTTCATGGGTGCACACGGCCGTAGATGGGACGAGTGGGTAGACGGGTCGCGCCTCCTGAAGTTCAACGAGACAAACATCCAGCTGCAAAAGGCCCTACAGTCCCAGTCTCAGGCTGCGCAGGCCGCAAGCGCGAGCTCGAGCAAGGCGAAGAGCCTCGCTACGAAGGAGGGAGCGGGCGCGGGTGGCAGGGCGGGCGGGGCTGGCGGCCGGAAGGACGGCGCGAGGGGGACTAAGAGGGGTAGAGAGGAGGTGTGTGCTTCTTACTGCGTTTGCCCAGTGCGCAGAGGCCGAGTGAAGGAGGGCTGTCGGGACAGAGCTGCTCGAGGGTTGGCAAAGGCTGACTGAACGATGTTTGTGGCAGGACGAGGGGACCAGGAAGCCCGAGATGAAGTTGAACGTGCCGGAGCAGTTGAAGGTGCTGCTTGTGGATGACTGGGAGGCCGTGACGAAGAATAACCAGGTGTGTGCAGCCCTTCCGGATAGTACCAACGCAGCATCGTTGCTCAGCAGCGATGGCAGCTGGTCGGTCTTCCGAGGAAACCCAATGTGCTCGAGCTCTTGGAAGAGTTCAAACAACACGTCCTCTCTCAGGGCACTTCAGCACAGTACGTCTCTTCAGCGTTGCTCGCGTTTCTATCATGCTGATCCTGTTGCACTCCTTCGTTCTAGGCTGAAGGACCCGAAGGTGTTACTCCCGACAATCATCGCAGGGCTACAGACGTATTTCGACCGAGCACTCGGCGCGAATCTGCTCTACAGGTTCGAGCGACCACAGTATGCGGAGATTCGGAAGAAGTACGTGACTGGCCCAACGGTGCAGATTGGCCAGGAGAAAGAGATGAGCGCCATCTACGGTGCAGAACACTTTCTGCGAATGCTCGGTGCGTGGTTCGAGTCGCGGAGGGCCAGCGGTACCATAGGCTGACTGCAAACATAGTGAGTCTGCCGCAGATGGTGGCGAGCTCGTCTATGGACGGGGAATCAGTGGCGTTGTTGAGAGACTATGTCAACGAGTTACTGCAGTACGTGACCTCTTAGCCCACGGTGTGGTCGTTTAGATTGATATTCGTACCCAGATGGATGGTCAAGGAGAGGCATCGGATCTTCGTGCCTGAATACGAGAGTGCCAGCATCGCGTACCAAAACATTTCGCGGTCATGACGGCGCCGTGCATGATTGTATGCGTGTTGTTCTTGTTGCCATGTACGATATGCTGTCGACTGTTTCTGATATTTCCTTCTGTGTGTCACGGGGGCTATGCCGTACTCGTGCTGAAAGCAGATGCAGCCCACCACACATGACGTCAGGGGTAGGAGTAGTGTAGATATACCGTCTCTGCCTGCCGTCTGACCTCTCACTCCCTGTCCTGAACTCCTACTCACTGCTACACCTATAACCATAACCTCGCAACATGGCCTCTTTACTCTCTGGCGCGACCAAGACCGCACATTCCTTGGCGACATCGCTCCTGAGCGCAGCGGAAGTCAAGGTTGGCTCTACCCTCCCGGTCAAGGTCCCGGTCAAGGAGGAGGCAGCGGACAAGACTTTCACGTTTGAGGGCATCAAGGGCAAGAACGTCTTCGTATGTCGAGCCCAGCCTCTACTACTTCTGAACCCTACTGATGATTTAACAGGTCGGTGTCCCCGGTGCGTTCACTGGGACTTGCAGTCAGCAGGTGCCTGAATATATCAAGGCGTACGAGAAGTTCAAGGAGAAAGGCGTGGACAACATCTATGTTGTGATGGTCAACGATGTCTTCGTTGCCAAGTGAGTTGCATAGATCCGTTAGTATGGGTGGCAGATTCTAAACGGTGCTCTTAGAGCTTGGAAGGAGCAGCTCGGCGCAGACTCCCGTAAGTGCCTATGCTGAAACACAGCATGCATATATGCTCTCAAGGTTGACGCTGTGTGTTGGTAGCTGTCCACTTTATTGCAGACGACCAAGGCGCCTTCACCGGTGCGCTTGGTATGCTGTTTGACGCGTCCGGATTCTTGGGAGCCCCCCGCTCGAAGGTGTGTCAGTCTTACCAGAGGGTTCTCTGCACAGACATCGGCTTACAGCCTGCTGGATCCACAGCGCTATGTTCTAGTCACCGAGGGCGACACCGTTGATTACGTTACTGTGGAACCTGAGCCCAGTCAGATTACAACTACTCGGGCGGAGAAGGTCTTGCCGTGGGTTTGACGATCTCGGGGGGACGGCTTGAGGTAGGGCGTCGTGTTTGTAGCGAAGGATGATCACGTCAAATGTTGTACTGTATATCCAGAATGAATGAAGACATGTGCTGCCTGGTGGCCACGCACGCACTGCAGCCTGGGGAATGCTGTATGTAGTCGACGGAACTGAGGGGGATGTACAAGGGAGGAGGCGCCCGGTCAAGGAATTTTGGACAAGCGCTCGGTGGGACTCGCTCTCGCACTTCGGAGCTTGCACTTGTCCTTGTAGCCCTCGCTCTCGCGCAGTTGCTTCCACTCAGCAGCAGGCAGCAGTGCGGAAAGCCTCTTCTTGCTACCATGGGCTTTCTTATCACCCCTTCTGCAACATGGTACTCCGCTGTATCCCCGCTCTCTCCAAAAGCTGATCTCAAGCAACCGTCCCCGTCCCAGCTTTCCTCCCTCACCGAACGCGCAGCCTCCCTCCTCGCTTCTGACACAAAAACATATTCAAATTCTACCGTGTCGCACAACGCATCCGATGCGCACTTCATCAAGACCATCCTCTCAACCGGTACTCTCTCCGACCGGCTGAGCGCACTTACCCTACTCGTTCAGGCGAGCCCCCTTCACAACACCGCCGCCCTCGAAAGCTTGCGCTCTATGGCTCAGCGCGGTCGTGCAAAGGGCGGTAGAGATGAAGGTCTCAAGGCTGTCCGCTGTGTAGTCGATTGGTGGGTAGGCGGAGGAGGTCCGGGCCGCAAACTCAAGTGCGTTCTCCTCCATCCCTCCTTGCTTAAGCTCATGCCTCCGCGTATCATCACAGATACTTTCGCGACCAACCTCTTCTCCACCCGGAAGCCACGAACGCGCACCTTCTCATCTGGTACTTCGAGGATTGGTTGAAGAAGTACTTCTTCTCCATCCTGCAGATCCTGGAGACGTTCTCCCTCGACCCTCTCACCTATGTCCGCACGCAAACACTTGCCTTCCTCGCCACCCTTCTTCGTGCGCAGCCAGAGCAGGAGCAAAATCTTCTTCGTCTCCTTGTGAACAAGCTCGTGCGTCCCCTTGTGGTTTGATAGTCGACGCATCTCAATTTGTTCTAATGTCTTGAGCGTGTAGGGCGATACTGAGAAGTCTGTATGCTCCCGCGCGTCATACCACCTGCTACAAGTTCTACAGGCGCATCCAGCGATGAAGGCTGTCATCGTGCGCGAAGTGCGCGCTCTGGTCTTCCGCCTTCCTGCTTCCACAGCCGCACAGGCGGCCTCAACTACTCCTGCCGTGCATACTCATATTCGCTTCACCGACGCGGACTCGTCATCGAGCAAAGCGAAGCCGACCCCGAAGTCGGACAAGGAGAAGGGGACAGAGGGCCGCTGGAACTCTCACGCATGGTACTATTCGGCTGTCACGCTGAACCAGGTCGTCCTTACTCCTTCGACGGCCGACCGCGTAGTCGCGCGCACTCTCGTGGACATGTACTTCGAGATGTTCGAGGAGATCCTTGGGTCAAAGACCGACTCCGACGATGCGAGCGACAACGAGGGACGTCACGAGGAGGGGACGAAGAGCCACGGCAAGGGCAAACATGATGGCAAGGGGAAAGACAAGAAGAAACAAAAGGCGAAGGAGGTCAAGGGGGAGGCTGGCTTCACCGAAGTCGAGGATTCATCCTCCAGGATGATCGGTGCGATCCTTACGGGTGTCAACCGCGCGTTGCCGTTCGCGCAGATGCACCTGAGCGATGAAAGCTCCGCCATGTATGTTATTCCCTATGCCCTTGCTACACGCGTCCTGACGCTTTTCTTGCGCAGCTTCCAGAAGCACATAGACACGCTTTTCAGGATAACGCACACCTCTACATTCAACATCTCGCTACAGGCCCTTACACTTATCCTTCATATATCTACCACACTCTCTGCTCCCGTAGCGTCTTCCTCCAAGGCTTCTTCCTCCACGGCAAAGTCGTCTGCATTCACGATATCCCTCCGCGACCGCTTTTACCGGACGCTGTATGCTTCGCTCATCGACCCGCGACTAAGCACATCGAACAAGCAGGCTCTATATCTCAACCTGCTCTTCAAAGCCTTGAAGGCGGACCATGACGCAGATCGTGTCGCGGCGTTTGTTCGCCGATTCGTGCAAGTCCTTGCTGGCGGAGTCGGCGCTGGAGGCGCCGTTGAGTTCGTTACCGGCGGCTTGTACTTACTTGGCGAGGTACGTCGGAATGAGTGTACGCGCACTATAGTGATCCTAACGCGACCTACACCAGCTTTTCAGCTCAACCCCGTCTTTGAAACAACTACTGAGCAGCCCGAAGGCAAAAGCCACATCCGACGCTCCCGGTTACGATGCGCGAAAGCGTGATCCTCAATATGCCCATCCGTTCGCGTCGCCTATGTACGAACTTGTACGTCAGGTTATGTGTTCCAGTTGCATACTGCGCTCACACCATCGTGCCTAGCTCCCGCTCCTTAGTCACTACCACCCTACTGTCTCCTTGCATGCCCGCCAGCTGCTATCTTCGACGCCGATCACCGGTTCGCCAGACCTCTCGCTTAACACACTCACCCATTTCCTCGACCGTTTCGTCTACAAGAACCCCAAAAAGCCAAAACCGAAGGGCCAGAGCGCGATGCAGCCGTCGCTTGAGAACGCCTCCTCCGCGCACGGAGTGACCCTAGTGAAGGGCGAGGCCGGGCTTGGCGTTCCGGTCAACGATGAGAAGTTCTGGAAGAGGCGGGTGGAGGACGTGCCCGTTGACCAGCGGTTCTTCCATACCTACTTCGTACGGAAGGAGGAACGGGACCGGAAGAAGGCGGAGAAGGTTGCGAAGAGGAAGGGGAAGGGCGAGGCGGAGGGTTCTGATCTTGAGGAGTCAGTATCTGAGGCTGAGGCGAGCCGGGCGGGGAGCGAGGGGGACAGTGGCGAGGACGTTGCGGATGGAAGCGAGGAAGAAGGCGATGGGGGTGAGAGCGAGAGCGAGGACGGCGGTTTCGACTTGGGCAGCGTCGGCCAGAAGCCTGCTCCAGCCGGGGACGAGGAAGAGGACAGCGACGCGGAAGAGGCGGAGATCTGGAAGGTACGTTGGCGACTTGGGTCGTGTCTTGGTTCATGCTGAGAACCTCTGTAGGCAATGAGAACGACGATGCCATCAGAACTCCAAGACGATGGCCTCACGGACGACGAGAGCGACGACGTGCCTTCCGACTTGGATGAGTTGTCCGGGGATGAGGATAATGAGGAGGAAAATGACCCGCCAAGGGAAGACGAGGAGACCGATGATGACGAAGACTTCGACCTTGCAGAGGGTTCCGATGCTGAGGATCTTCTCTCTCTTGATGCTGAAGTACCGACGGGCCTCATCGAATATGATGGCCCTGACGCCAGCGGAGAGGAAGATGAAACAGAATGGGGTGGGATCCTGTCGGGACCCGAGGAGAAGCGTAAGAGTAAGAGGAAACGAGTTGAGGATGAGAAGAAGGCGCAACGGAAGAAGCTGCGCTCGCTGCCCACTTTTGCAAGTTATGAGGACTATGCGAAGCTTATTGAGGATGGGCCAGAGGATAATCTCTGAGCTTATGTTCTTTGTAACTTCTCGACTCGCTGAAAGCTCTGCCTTGTGAGCAGATCGTATTCTGTACTGTAGCCTTTCATCTGCTTCTGGTGGTCGAACGTTTGTTGAACATTCTATGACTGGCCCATTGAATGAATGAATGTATTTGAGCAACATGCAAATACCATCCAATAGTAATCAATGACCCTGATCTGGAGCAGAGGCCAGGAGGAAGTGGCAATGACTGGGCACCTAAATGCAGATGTTCAAATATTGTCCGGCACCATGAGTATATGCTCAGATAAGCTTGTGTGATTAATCAATTGACTTCCAGGCTTGTGTTAGTATTTTGGTGTAACTATGATAGGATTTAAGTGTATAAACCTATAACAAATGTCACACTACAGAATTTCTTGCCTATGCTGCAAACCTTCAAAGCCAAGGTGAAGGCTGGTATGTTACACCAAAATACTAACACAAGCCTTGAAGTTGATCCAGACTGATCACACAAACTTATCTGAGCATATACTTATGGTGCTGGAAAATCTTTGAACACCTGCATTTAAGTGCCTGGTCATTGCCTCTTCCTCCTAACCTTTTGGCCATCGTAAGGAAGAATAGCTGGACCATACTCACATCATATAGTGCTGTTCTTGTAAAGATTTTGTGAGCATGATATAAATGACATATAATATATATTTCCTTATAAATAAGTCTTAACAAATTATTGCATACTCTCTAAGCATCAGTAATATATCTTCCTACTACTGAGTGTTGAAAATGTTTCTGGTCCTGCAGAATACTTGCAGGTAAGTCTAGACACAGGGAGATCACTGTGTTGGTGGGGTGTGAGGAAAGAGACGTGGAAGATGGGATGGATCTGCTTGTTCTTGGGAAGCACTAGCTTGTATGCCAGTGGTGCGACCTGTTTCTTGACTACATACAGTACAGCCAGCCAATCAATAAGTTTTTGTGGCATCCCCATGATACGCAGATTGCAGGTGTCAAGCCAGACTGTTACAACCGCCCTGTGGGGGAGTCTTTTTCCCTTCTCCTTGTATCCTCTATGCCATGCATCCTCTCTCCCTTTACAGTACAACTCGGACACTCGCACTTACCATGGTTTCAACACCGTGCTCCCCAGCTCCATTGTCCCCTTTGCTATTGTCCTCTTTACCATTGTCCTACGTGGTCACAACACCATGTGACCTTTTTGTTCTCATTCGCTATTGTCCACCATGGTCACAACACCGCAGGACCCCTTTGTACTTTGTCATTATTGTCCTATGCCTATTGTTCCTTGATTAGTTAGCAACCCTGTACTTTAGTATATAAGGACAGGTCTCACACTGGGCACCCCAGTTTGATCTCTTGTACCAATCAAGTTGTTACCATTGGTACGCCCCACCCCCTATTCTTTTATTATTTGGACTACTGCTTCTCGTCGCCCTCGTGTACACTCCACCCCCCTTCCTGTTCGATGGCGACCTATGCTTACCTTCCCGTTTCCCCGTCGTCCGCCTGTACACTACTATTCCCCCTTCTGCCCCCTGACGACTATGTTCCTAGCCCCGGCCCTCTCTCTTAATATTTCCCCTTTCGTCTATATTGTCACGAACCGCCCTCACGGCGCCACGTTTCCTTTTCAATTCGGACCACCGCCTCGTACGTTTCCTTATTGTTCACTACTCGCTACGGTTTCCCTTTGTCCACACACAGACAATAGCTCCCTTTGTCCCCACGTCCGCTATTGTCCTACACCCCTTGTACTCTGTACCCATGGCGACGCTATTGTTCTCTAGTGCCCATTGTTCGTTCCCTGTATATAGCTGGATCCCTTGCTACCTGGAGACTCTAGTTTCAACCTCTTGTCTCCAGGTAAGCCATCGTGTATTTCGCTCTGTAGATACTTCGCTCAATACACAACTTGTCTCCAGTCCTGCCTGTTGAGCTCCGCTCCAGTCTCACTGCGATCAGAGCTCGTCGGCGCTCCTGCCTGCCTCGCTCGTCTCCACTTACTCGCTCGACAGTCAGTCGTAACATTAGGTCGAAACTACCTCACAGGCACCAGCGCCCTCCCACGTTTAACACTCCGTTTATCACTGTCCCCCCCACCTTTCCATCCTGGATTGTAGCTCGTTTTTCCACGGCTTTCATCCTGTCGCCGTAGAAGACCAACACTACAACCTCAACTATCAGCGGTGGCACATCTGCCCGAGCCAACCCTGCCCTCACCGGTTGGACAACGGGGACGACAGCGATACCGACTGGTCCCAG